AACCATCTTCAATGACAATTAAACCAACCCAATAGCATTGCATAGGCAGTGAAGTCACTAATAGTCCACAGAGTATGACCCTCATTGTGAAATTATTCTTACAAAATGCATCATATGCAACAACATCCTCGTCCAGTAACATATGAAACTCATCTGTTAACGACCTAAGAAACACATCCAAGTTTTGATCGGGGATATTTTGTCTAGGAATGACCACGAAAGCTTAACTTATGTGTTAGAACCCCACTTGTAAAAGTGTAAGTAAGAAGTCTCTTACTCTAGTCATTTAGGACTTGGTCGATTGAAGCAGTCTGGACCAAAAGCTCTTATGCAGAAGGTACTAACAGACAAAGCTCTTATTCAAAGAGCTAAGTGTCTTACATACAGAGTCGTGCTCAACCCAGAGGAAGATCAATTATTAAGCGTCAAAAAGCATAAGTACTTGATACAGCGCTACACTCCAGACATAGAGCCTCTGCAAAATACATGCAGAGCCTCTGAGTCTTCTACTCCCTTGGTTTGCGCACAAGTGGTTCAGACTTATCTCCAAGACTCTAATCAGAATCTACCATGTACACACAAGCCGTTCCACATTCCAAGGAACGTGAAGGCTGAGGACGCTGAACAAGAAGTCAGAGTTTGAAGCCTGGAATTTAGGAGATTATGTTTTACATAAATGTATAATAGGAGGTGTCCTCTTCTGGGAAAAAAAAACCTGAAGAATTGCCATCTTTGCATACGCTCCTATTATATAGAATTCTTGAGAGAATGCTAAGTTAGATCGAGAGATTGTTCTTATACTCTTTATCTAATAAAGCAACCGATTTATTGAACAAGCTTTCACTCTTATTGTTCTTGTTTAAATTTGTTAACCTAGATCATTTACACAGTACTTGTTTCCACTCAAACTCTCTTTAACTGTGTTTCTTGATACTTAAGAGGATTCCGGGTTCCTACAATATGAACCTTTCAAGTCCATCCAGGGAGGTAAGTTATATATTGCAATAAAGACAAGCCATATTGAATGCGGGTTCAATTTCGTGTTATTCGGATTGAAAACTGTCGGTGCATAACCAAGACCAACATTTTGGACCTCTGCCGCAAAGGAAGGATGTTTCGAGTCCACATGTTCCCAAACCTCACCATCACAATTAATTATGTCCTATGCTCGTAATGCCATGTCATCTCCTTATGAATTGTTTTTGACATATACAACCTTTGAAGTCCGGGGGTAACCGGAAAGTACATCAACACCAAGTTAGGGACCTTGCTTTTTCCACTTGTCTTGTAATGAAATTCCCCATACAGCCGATCGTGGGTCAGATCAGAGTCAGCCTTATAGGAAAGCATGCAATGGTTTTTACAAGCACGGGTACTCTTGGTGGAGAGAGATAGTGGATTCAACGATGTCTTCCTCTTATAGAAGCTCTCAACTAGTTTATCGTCGTTTGGTAGCATATTTTTGATCATGGGAAGAAGTTGATTATAGGAAGCCTCAAGTATATTGCATTCGTCCTTCCAATTTAGCAACCTCATGGCAACTTCCAATTTAGAATAATTCTGATACCCTGCCTACAAAGGCTCTTCAACAACTGCTAAGAAACTCTCCTTTTTATGGTCACCCCTCTCATATAACATTGTTTACATGAATGTATATGTGCAGTGGTGAGGAATAACTAGTGAAAACATGGACTGTAGGAGGGATATAAAACTAGCAAATGTAGATTCAAAAACAATAAGTTGGAAGATGAGGTTTTAGAAAAATAGCATGTCTTTCCTCTTATCTGATGATTATTTCTGCGTCTGCCTACTGTTTATCTAATAAGTAGGAATATGTCTAGATGATCAACCTATGGAAACTCCCATCGGTAATTAAGCTAAATAATGTCAAATAAATGCAACAGTTGGGTGATGTACAAGCAAACCATAAAATACTCGGTTACCAACAAGGGGATAATTATGTACAACATAAAAGCAAAATTCAAATTCACCAAAATCAACATGCTTAAACAGTCGCGATAGTCTGTAAATGTAAGAGTTGTCTCTTATTCTTAATCGTATAAAACAAGTTTTGCAATATCAAAAGTCACAAACAAATTTACACCATTGATTCTTGAATCATGTAAAAATGAAATCAGATGTGATAACAGAAGCAAAAGTAAAATGAAATTAGATGTGATAGCCTTGGAAAATCAAAAGAAACAAACAAATTGTACGTTGATTTTTGAATAAATTACCTATCTCCGGTGTTTGTTCAAAATCGCGGGTGAAGAGGATTTAAGTGTCGCGCGGCAAATCAATTTAGGGTTTTAAAGAGGGAAAAAAATTGATAATAAAATTTCTTAATTGTATTTAAAGAATACGAAATTTTTTATTAGTTTTTTTTTAACTTGAGATTTTCCATTGTCTAACATAAATAGTGGATAAATATTAAATATTTAGATTACTTTTTTTATAATTATTGGACATAATTAATTAATTAATTCTAAAAACATTATCTTATATTTTTAAAATCCATATTTGCATCTTATTATTGTATTGTATTACTTTAAAAGCTTTAGATTTAAAATATATACAATAACTGATAAATATGGTGGTTCTTAATGAACAGTACTGGGTTTTGACAAGCTATTATATCTATTAATGAAGTCTATTGGCCTTCATGGACTTCAATGACTCTTAATAAGCGTGTTGAGCTGTGAAGGGTTGTATTGGACTTGGTTGTTGTTAATGATCCTCGTCGGGGTTTAGTGGGTGGTAATGAACTGTATTGGACCTTAGTGGGCTTTAGTATATCTCAATGAGCTTGATCAGTCATTGATAGGCTTTAGTGGGTGGTAATAAACCGTATTGGACATTAATGAGTTTTAGTGGATATTAATCGACTTGATTAGACCTTGATAGGCTTCAGTTGATCTTAATAAACTTGATTGGGCCTTAATGAGTCGTATTGGACTCATAAGTTGTTAATGAAATGTATTGCGCTTACAAGGCTTTCAACGGCTATTTCTAAGCCTTGATGAGTCATATTGGACTTATTAGTTGTTAATGAACTGTATTTGACCTACATGGCTTTCAACGGCTATTTATGAATTATGTTGGGCCTTAATTGGCTATAATAGGTAATAACGAACTGCATTATGCCTTGATGTGTCGTAACGTAGTAACTGCTGTAAATGAATTGTATTGATTCTTCATAGGTTTTACTAATGAACTATATTGGGTTCTTAATGGGCTTAAGTGTCTCTTAAATAACTTGATTAGGTTTCCAATGGGTTTTGATGATTCTTATTGGAATCAATGACTCTTGATGAACTGTAATGGATTCCATAGGCTTTAATGGCACTTAATGAACTACGCTTTCATGGGTCATATTTGGTTTAATAGTTATTAATGAATTGTATTGGGCCACATGTCTTTTGGTGGCTAAATTGTACCTTGATTGCCTGTCATGGGTAGTAACGAACTGTATTGGGCCTTGATAGGTTGTAATGGAATTAATGTCGTTAATGAATTGTAGTGCGCCTATATGACTTTCAACGGCTATTATACTAGGCCTTCATTATTTGTCATTGGTAGTAATAAATCGTTCTGGGCCTTGATGGGTCGTAATGGACTCACCGGTTGTTAATAAATTGTATTGGACCTTAATGGGTTTTAATGGCTCTTAATGAACTATATTGGGCCTTTTATGGGCATAAGTGACTCTTATAGAACTTGATTAGGTTTATATAGAACTTTAATGGGTCGTATTGGACTCAATGACTCTTAATGAATTGAATGGATTTTATGGTATTCGGTGGCTCTTAAAGAACTTGATTGCTCCTTGATGGGTCGTATTAGAATTAATAGTTGTTAATGAACTATTGGGCGTACATGGCTTTTAGCGGCTATTAACAATTTGTACTGGGTTTTGATTCGCTGTCTTGGGTGGTACTAAACTATATTTGGCCTTGGTGGGTCGTAATGAACTCACTGTTGTTAATAAACTGATTAGACTTTAATGGGCATTAATGACTTTTAGTGAACTGTATTTAGCTTTTTATGGGCTTAAATGATTCTTAATGAACTTCATGATTCTCTCAGATTAGCTATGGATTTTATCAATATTTGTTCGATTTTTAAATGTAGAAATAACTATGTTCGTAAAAAAACCATGACAAATCAAACATATTTATCTCGAATTAGCTACAAATTTTATTAATGTTTGTTTTGAGGTTTTTTTAGTGTAAAATATAATTAGATCCATAGTAAAGCAGTAGCAAATCTAAATATAATTGTCTCAGATTAACTACAGATTTTATGAAGATTTTCTATATTATATTAGTTTTTTAATATCAAATATAATTAGAATTGTAGCAAAGTCGAGGCAAATGTAGTTTTTTTTAAATATTCAGCGATAGAGTAATAACAGATCTTTAAGTTTATCTTTAATTTATTTTAAGAAATAAGGGTTTTTGTTCTCCGTCGCTAATTCATAACAAATATGTACTTTTTGGATTAGCGACGGGTCATACATATTTCACAAAAAATGTGAATAAAAATTAAAAAAAAATTGGTTTTGTAGCGGATCTGTCGCAAATTAGCGACGAATCAGGCCATAACAAATTATTAGTCGTTGATACTCATTTTTCTAGTAGTGAAACAATCGTTGCTTCAAAGATCTACATCTATAATTTAAACCAACAAACATGACATTGAACAAATCCTTATAACACCGAAGGGTCTTTGCTCTAGCCATATCATAGTCTTTGACCTCGTAGGAGGTTAGGGGTTAAATTTTAAGGGGTGTGTGAGTTTATTTGTTACATTTACCGTATATAAATATTATATACTTAAGTAAGAATCAAACAAGATCTCATAAGCCATTCACTGTGGTCAAGGAAAATCTTAAATGTCATATATATGCCATGAAAAATTCTTAATCATCACACATGAATTAATATGAAAAAACCAATATTTAATCATCGATTATATATCTTTCCTTTCCTTCTAAGTACCGAATATAATATAGCTGCTCCACCAGATGAATACATAGATGGTGCTTGTTCTAGTTTCTTTGTATAGGACTCAAAGAGCTCATCTATCATTTCATCTTGGAGGTGGCCCTTGAAGATTCCCTCCACACCAACCCTTATACCCATACCCAGACGTCCGGCAGCATGCTTTGTCTCTGGCTCTGCAATGTGAGCCAATCCTTCCATTCTTTCGATCGTAAAACAGCCATTTCTGTCCACGATTTCCTCTAGTTCTTGAGGCGATGCGTAATATATGGGTATGTTGAGAGACTCTACGGTCTCCTCCGCAATCTTTCCCTTCAAAGCAAAGTAGATTTTTTTTTTGTGAATCGCTATTTTTGTTTTTGAAGTTATGGTTTTCCTCCTTATAATTATAATTTGTTGCTTTTTTAGTCCTCATGGTTTATCATTCCCTTCTTTAATTTTTAGTCTCTATTGTCATTGTGCTTGACAATTTAGTTATTCTAGAGTAAATTACGTTTTCTGTCCCTATGGTTTGTTACAAATATCGGATTTTGAAATTGTGATTCTTATGGCTTGCACTTCATTTCTATTTTTATCCCTAAAGTTAAACATTACTTTTAAATATGAGAGACTAAAATAGAAATAAATTATAAAGCACAAATCAATAAAATTTTAATCACGAGGACGAAAACTTAACGGAGATGAATTAAGGATGAAAATTGTTATTTCAAAATCAATAATTTTCTTGTTTATGAATGTGTCACTGATCTGTCGGAAAGGCGTAGGTAATATTTATTGACGAATGTTTCTGTCGGTAAAACCCAAGGCGATACGGTAGAGGTTATAGTAGTTTTTAAGAATGCTATGTGCTGAATGTCAAAGAGGTTAAAGCTTTCAAATAAATTAAAGAGGAAATGGAAGATGATGGTTTACCTGCTTCGCCATGGCCAATAAACAACAGCCCAACACCTCAAACAACACATTCCCAATGCACTCACAATGTGGAACCTCATTTGGCCGGCCGGGCATCAGAACCACCACCAACCCACCGCAAACCACCTCATCTGCTCGGGCTTTCAAGAACCCCTCCATATCTTTCATGTACTGTTGCCGAAAAGCCATGATCACCCCATCATCAGCACCACCGTAATGAACTCTCCCTTTGTTCCAAGCCCCAGAGCTCTTTTCCGTCACCTCTTTCGGCACTTTGGAAAGCCAATGGAGAGCGAAGGAAGAGTGGAAAACGTGAATAGATGCCCGAGGGAATAACCGACCATAAAACGAGCCTGGGACACCAGCTGCAAAGTATTGTTTGTTGGCGGGAAGGGTTTTGAAGAGGGTGTTGAAGTCGTTTGAGATGTGATCGTTGAAGAAGACTTGGAAGTCGGGTGGTGCTGAGATTGTTAAGGTTTCATACTTGATTTGCACAGAGTTGATTATGTTTTCGACAGCTATGAAAGTGTTAGGACCGATGGAACAACCCAGGTCAGCAATACGAATGGGGTGTCCACAGGCTAAGTTTTCGACAGCTAGCTTTTCAGCAACAGCCTCGCAGATAAATGACATAGCAACCTCTGAAAGAGACTTCTGTATAACACAAAAACATACCCATCTTGTGCTTTATAGATCATGAAATAATTCTTTTTATTGGGTTCATTTCTCTGTATATATAGAGGAAGGAAGGATCAACCGAAGTTAAATATTTTGTGAGAAGTTTCAATATCATGTATGATTATACTCCTTTAGTTGTGTTTAATATGATCAAATCACATGTAATTTTAAACTAATTTCACGTGTGAAATCACATAGTGATTATGCATGACAGGGCCAAGTCACCCTTGTTCCATAATCATATGTGATTTCAGTACAGAATCAAATAAGATTTGGTCGTTCTCTTATTTGATTAAATTCTCGTTTGATCCTCCTTAGGTAAGAATAAATGATTCACATATTTCTAAACCCGAAAAAAGTTTCCATTTAAAGATTATTTGAAACCATGTTCGATTACCTGCCTTTTTACATTTATTCACTTATCATATGCATGTGACATATGAAGACTTACATATGAACTCATGTTTCCTTTAATCAATGATTCATATATAAATCTTTTACTTTATACGGTATCAACCTTTCATATATATATGTATATATATAGAGAGAGAATAATATGGAGATATTATGGATTATATATATATATATATATATATATATATGATATGATATGAGTAAATAAGAGATGGGATATAGAGACCTGATAGGAGGAGTTGTTGGTGTAGCTACAAACACCATCTCCACCCTTCATTGGATAGGCTTCTGTTGATTTGCTGCTCTCCATTTTTTTCACTTGAAGATTTTAATTACAATGCAACTTAACCTTTATCTCTCAATTCCTTTTCATATTGTAAATTAAGAACGTGGGGAGATGAAACCAATGATTTTTAGTGTTTCCATCGCCCAACGCCTACCTCTTCCTCATTGATATCATCTCCATTAAACGTATCTACATCTATAGATCTTGTGTACAGTATGTGACTCACAATGACAATATAAAAACTTTTATGGATCGAAAAACTTAAATTTTATTAAATGAGCTTGGTCCTTTAAATAGGAGTAACAATCCTAATTATAAATCAAATAAGGAAACAATCCTAATCAAATAAAGAAAATATTCTCAAAGAAGATAAAGGTCAAGAAACATAAAAATAGGAGAAATAAAAGATAAGTAAGATAAAGGATAAGGAAAGGATAATAACAAAATCCTTTACTCCCCCTCAAGTTGGAGCATGTAAGTCTCGAATGCCCAACTTGTCAAGTAGCTTCCGTAATTGAYMTGCGYCCAATGCCTTAGTGAAGATGTCAGCCACTTGTACTTTCGTGTCAACAATGAGAGGTTTGATTTCTTGTGATTCAACACGCTCACGGACAAAGTAGCAGTCCATTTCAACGTGTTTGGTYCTTTCATGAAAAACAGGATTATTAGCAATATGCCGAGCCGYTTGATTGTCAYAGAAAAGAGGTGTAGCGCTAGTTTGAGGTGCCTGCAGAATTCCAAGTAACCAACGAACCCACAAAACTTCACTAACAGTTGTTGCCATAGCCCTATACTCGGCTTCAGCGGAAGATCTCGAGACAACTGTTTGTTTCTTTGTTTTCCAAGAGATGGGTGYTCCACCTAGRAGTAGCAAGTAACCTGAACGAKATCGCCGTGTAAAAGCACATCCAAGCCAATCTGAGTCACAATAGGCTATAAGATCAAGACCTCCTTCCTTTGGTATAAAAACTCCTTGACCCGGAGTGGTCTTTAGGTAACGTAGGATTCTGACTGCGGCATCCATGTGGCATTGTCGAGGATCAGATACAAACTGACTAAGCATGTTGACTAAATAAGCAATGTCTGGTATGGTAGCTTGGAGATAAAGCATTCTTCCAACAAGACGACGATATTGGCTAGCATCTACCCTGGGACTATCATGGCCTTGATCCAACTGTAAATTTTGTTCCATCGGAAACAAGCTCGGACGACATCCCATTAAACCACTGTCTTCAAGTATATCAAGTGTGTACTTGCGTTGACTAAGCACAATACCATCAGGTGTACGTGCCACTTCTATCCCCAAGAAATATTTCAACGGACCCAAATCCTTAATGCTAAACTTTTGATCGAGAAAGGACTTTACTTCTTGTATCTTTGAGGCACTGTTACCGACAATAATGACATCATCAACGTAAATTAAGGCAGCAACAAAAACATCATTATTGTTGAATATGAATAAAGAGGCATCAGCATGGGTTTGTCGAAATCCCAATCCAGTAAGTGCCAAAGTGAACTTTTGGTACCAGTTGCGAGATGCCTGACAAATGCCATAAAGAGATTTTCGCAATCTACAAACCCGTGTTTCTTCTTTTCTTAAAAAACCATCTGGAATTTTCATATAAAATTCTTCTTTGAGATCACCATGCAAGAAGGCATTATTCACATCGAGTTGATGTACAATCCAATCCTTCTTGGTTGCAACATCAAGAAGTGTTCTGACTGTTACCAATTTAGCAACAGGGGAAAAAGTGTCATGAAAATCGACCCCCTCCATTTGTGTGAATCCTTTTGCAACCAATCTCGCCTTATATCTTTCGATTTCACCATCTGGTTTGTATTTTATTTTATACACCCACTTGGAATCGATGGCTGGTTACCCTCAGGCAAGTTTTCAAGGGTCCAGGTACCATTGTTTTCGAGGGCTTTGATTTCATCTTTTATTGCCGTAACCCATTTTTCATCTTGCATAGCCTGCTTAAAATGTTTTGGCTCACTGTTGGAGCTAATTGCAGACAAGAAAGCCTTATGTTAATCAAAAAATTTGTCATAAGAAAGATAGTGGGTTAGGGAATGTATCGTCGAAGAAGCTTGATGGCTTGTGGGTCGTGTATGGTCTATCGAAGGTGCTAGCTTGACGACGAAATCTTCAAAACGTTTCGGTGGTGCTCTATTCCTTTTCTCTCTTTGAACTTGTGTAGTTGTTTCTGTGTCTTGGGTCACGGGGTCGTTCACAAGGTCTTCGAGTACAACTTGAGCATCTATGGTCAACTCCTCATTAGTTTCTTCAATACTCTCCCTTGCTTCTTCAACTTCAATGCCATCATCGATATTTTTTGAGGTRTGAAAGGCGTCATCAGTGGTTGCATCTTTAATTTCCCAATCATTTTCCCTTATTTCTGCACAATCTTCTTTTACTTTGTCTTTGGTCAACATAAAAGGGAACTCGTTTTCTACAAATTTTACATCCCTTGAGACAGTGATTTTGTGTGTATTAATGTCATATATACGATATCCTTTCTGTCCTTGAGGGTATCCGATGAAGATCCCAGGCCTCCCCCTCACTTCAAACTTATCTCCCTTCGTTTCTATGTTTCTAGCATATACCAAACAGCCAAAAATCCTCATGTGGTTATATGTTGGTTTTTGCTTAAAAAGAACCTCAAAAGGAGTTTTAAAGTTTATAACTTTGGAATGAAGCTTATTTATGATGTAAGTGGCTGTTAAGATGCAATCTCCCCAAAATTTGATGGGTAAGTTAGCCTCAAATCTTAAGGCTCTAGCTATCTCATGAAGGTGTCTGTGTTTTTGTTCAGCAACACCATTTTGTTGCGGGGTGTTTGGGCAAGAAGTCTCAAGAATGATACCTTTGGAAGCATAAAAATCACTTATGAAGCCCGAGGTGAATTCTCCTCCGTTGTCGCTCCGTATTCTTTTGACTTCTTTTCCAAATTGAGTCTTGATCATATTGCACAAGTTGATCAGATGATTGCTTGCTTCTGATTTGTGTTTAAGCAAAAACACCCAAACAGCTCTACTAAAATCATCAACCACAGTCAAAAAATAGCGTGCCCTTGTGAGCGAAGGAGTTCGATAATTTCCCCAGATATCACAATGAAGTAAATCAAAACATTCAATCGTTTTAATAGAACTTTTAGGAAAAGGAAGTCTGGTATGTTTTGCTTTTACACACGAATCGCAAACACTATTATTTGACCTAGGAACAAGATTTTCTAAAAACTCAAAATAACGTAACTTGGAGTCTGAAGTGTGACCAAGTCTTTTGTGCCAAACTTCAATATCTGGTGCAGCCATCATTGCCATTTTCTTTTCTGCCACCGAATCCATTCGATAGAGACCACCCTTGCACTTACCCATGCCAATCAAGTTCTTCTCGAGTAAGCCCTGTATAAGACAAAAATCAGGGTAAAAAGTTACTACACAGTTCAAATCTGTGGTTATTCGACTGACAGAGAGTAAGTTGCATTTAAAATCAGGGATGAATAACACATTCCCAATTCTAATTTCGTTTGGCAAATTGCAATTCCCTTTTCCTTTAATTGGAATGGAATCTCCGTTTGGTATGGTGACAGGTGTCTCATGATTGCAATCTACCTTTTTTTCAAGTAGATTCAGATCACAAGTCATGTGTTCCGTAGCACCTGTATCAACAATCCATGAATTTTTGCCAACATCCTTACCAGCCATGTTACCGACAGGTCCTACACCTTCTTTATTAGTGTTCTTAAAGTGTTTGAGTAGCTCCTGATATTGTTCGTTCGTCATGATGGGTACTTGTGTGGTTTCAGTGTTGGCAAACACAGCTTTGGGTCGACCTTTTTCTTTCTTTCCTTTTCCGGGCCACCAATCAGGATAGCCAATTCGCTTGAAGCAACCATCTTTATTATGTCCCATTCTACCACAGAAGGTACAATTTTCAACTTCATCATTGCCGTTGCGTCTTGCCTCCTTCATATCGCCTTTATTACGTTGTGTTGTTGAGTCATTGGTTCCTTCCCTTCTGTTCTGAGCAAAGCTTTGAAAGGCACCAGCCTCATGTATGGGTCTTCTTGTGGCCGCTATAGCTCTTTGTTGTTCATCTTCTGCGACTAGATGATAAGCAGTGCCAAGCGTAGGAGTTGGTTTCGAGGCAAGAATATGAGTCTTAATCGTTGCAAATTCATTATCAAGTCCCATCAAAAACTCGTAGAGCCTCTCCTTTTCTTTTTCTTCGTTCAGTCTTTTTCCAGCATCACATGTACACCTTTTGCAGGTGCAATAAGGTGTTGGTGACACAGTTTGTATTTCGTCCCACAGTCCTCGCATCTTGGTGTAATAGGCTGAAACAGATGYACCGTTTTGAGCCGTGGTGGTCAAGGTCTGTTTTAGTTCATATGCTCGAGGAGCACTTTCCTTGCCAAATCTTTCTTCAAGATCGGCCCATATCTCCGCAGCGGTGTTGGCGTGTTTGACGCTTGATCTGATATCCTTCTCCATGGCTGTAGTCAACCATCCCTTTATCATTGCATTACATATCATCCATAACATATATTGTGCCGATTCCTCTTCTGGCCTTTTAATTGAACCATTAACGAAACTGATTTTGTTTTTTGCAAACAAAAAATTCTTCATCTCTTGAACCCAATCTCCATAGTTGATGTCAGAGAGAACATCGTTTACCTGCATCTGCCTTGGATAATCACAGCAGAGAAGATAATATGGAGAATTGGGATCAATGGTGTTTCCATCGTTCTTCGGTGGCAGCGTCGTGTTATCTCCGGCCATGGTGTCGTTGATGTTTAAGATGGATTAATCAATCCTTGCTCTGATACCATAAAAACTTTTATGGATCGAAAAACTTAAATTTTATTAAATGAGCATGGTCCTTTAAAAAGGAGTAACAATCCTAATTACAAATCAAATAAGAAAACAATCCTAATCAAATAAAGAAAAAACTCTCAAAGAAGATAAAGGTCGAGAAACATAAAAATAGGAGAAATAAAAAGCAAGTAAGATAAAGGATAAGGAAAGGATAATAACAAAATCCTTTACAACATGCTGAAGGACGACCTGCTTAATGGAATGATAGTGAAAAAACGAATGGATGCTCAGATGAATGATATTGTGCCATTAAACATAATGCAACAAACAATGAAGAAGAAGCAGCAAACCATGAAAATAAAGGAAGAGAACATATTGCAGCAAACAAATGAAACCAGAGAAGAAAAAGAACATATTGCAGCAAAAACCGAATCATGAAATGCCAAACCCCAAATTAGATCGAGAACATCAAACCTGTTTGAATCGACCAACATTTTTGGGAAAATATATAAAACAGAGATATTTTTTGAGGAAAAGAAACGAACTAATCAAAATCATTATCATTATCATTATGGTTGAATTCCCTAATTCACTTTTACTCGTGAAGAAGTTGAAGGGCTTTTGACAATCTCTCCTTAAACTTAACCACATCAAGCATCACATTTTGTTTATCCATATAAATCGATTTAAAAGCAGCCCATCCGTTCCTTTGAATCGTAATTGGATCCAAGAACACTTGATGGTTATGTGGATATTGGTCTATCAATGTGCTCTCCCCTTCGCTTATCTTATACTCCAAATACTTCAATCCCATTGCCTTTGAAGGCTCTCCATAACAAGTCTTTGCTAACCACTCCATCTTCCCCAATGGAACCACCTGTATCACCACACCATCTTCAGGCAGAAACACCATGTTGGTTAGCCCTGCACCATGAACCCCCATCATCACATCACATGAGTTCACAAGTCTTGAAACCTCAGCCATATTCGCATTCATTTCCGTCACAATCACCTCGAATCCCAACTCTCCTGCTGCATCAACCACATCTTTTACGTTGGTAAAAGCTCGGGTCTTTTGTCTTGCAACTATTAGGAGCCGGGGTCTTTTGGTCGAGCTGTTGGTTAGTTTTATGGCAGTGGATCGCTCCAATGAGTATGAACTTCTTAAGAAGTGTATGAAATCCTGCATCCCATCGGTGTGTAGCTCTTTTCTATCTTCCTTTTTAAGACCTACGATCATACTCGGGAAGCAATGTATTTGGTTGTCATGATCAATATCAATGATCTCATACCTCGATAATTTGTCCAACAGTTGTTGGAATTTGGTGGTCCATTGAGAACGTTTGTTGGCCACGAGAAACCGCACTTCTCGATTGAATTCTCGAGAAGCTGTGTAGAGAGGAATGATGACATCTGCAAAGGCGTGAAAGTTATTCCCAGCGTACCCACCGACCGAGAAAACTATGGCTGGTACGGTGTGCACTTTGGTGCATTTGGGCATGGTTTCGGCTTTTTCTGGGATCACTTTTACTGTGAAATTGGTTATACTTTCCATTGCGTTCCCATCGTTTTTACGAGCATAAGGCTTTATGGTCCATGAAGCATTTCCGACTTGCGAAGAAAACATGAAAATGGTGGAGGAATTCCCTTCGATCCTTACGTCGCCTTTTATCTCGCAGGTATCTGATCTTGGTTCTGTTGTGTTGCATATGAGCTTCGTTTCCTTTATTTCAGCATCTATCAACAATCACGACAAATTTTCAAGTCAATTTGTTTTTTTTAGTGAACTCTAATTTTGGTTTTTTTAAGGTTTAGCGAAAATGTTTGAACTTTAATAAGTTTAAAAATAATACTTGTGGTTCTCATTTTTATTTGAAAATCGTCGTGCTCACTAGCTCTATTAATAATCTCATCAGAGCGAGGGACAATTTTGTCTTCTTACCTATTTTCTTAATTTTCTTTTGAAAAATTAAACGTATATATACACACTAGAGTAAATTTTAGAGTTACTTACAGATTTGGCCTTTGTGCTTTGCCGGACTTTACAAAAAATGGTCCTTTAACTTCATTTATTATATATTAGGATTCGTGGTATGTCGTTTGTAATGAGTTGGTCACTCACTTCAACGGCCATCCACTTCATCTGTTAGAATTAAAAGCAGTTTCATCATTTTACTATTTTTCACCTTTTTAACATTAAATTTTTTACTTTTTTGGATTTTTTGTTTTTGTCGTTTTCAAAAATATGGCAAACAAAGGCATGTGTGAACTCATAGCTCATATGTGAATCAGTTACTTAGTTCATATATGAATCACATGGATTCATATATGAATCGGTTAGTTAGTTTATATGTAAATCACACGGATTCATATGTGAGTTATAAGGGTTTACATATTAACATATAGTTTATATGTGAATCACACGGGTTCACATATGCACTTGTTTTGTCTCCTATTTGTAAAGATTATGAAACCACTCATCTATCTTTCGCATATCATACAGAATATTATCCGATGATTTACAGTCAAAGCCGCAAATCTTGACTAAATGTAAGGTTAGGATTACATCTCTACTTCTCAAATACTTACTAATTCTCAAATGAATCTATGGTAATATATATATATATATATATATATATATATAATTTAATTTAATTAATTAATATTTAATTTAATTAATTAATAATAAATAATAATATAATATATTTTTTTATTGTTTTAAAAGATAAATTATGATATAAGGAAAAAGACAAAAATACCCTTTTATTAACAGACAATTTTTAATATAGTTAGTGATCAAGGACCATTTTCATAGTAAAATGAGAATCACAACTCTAAAAGGATGATTTCTAAACGTACCAAACTCATAGAAATCCTTAGGCCATTGGAAATTATTTCATATTCATGTTTGGCAGCCTTTTTTTAAGCTTGTTAAAATTATTATCATATTCATGTTTATCAGAAATAAACTAACTTATAAGTTAGATTTATAAAAAAATAGATAAATTTTATCGGTTTTTTCAATCTTTCAATTCTAATTATGTCTCTTATATATTAATAGAATTGTTTAATTTCTTAACATCTTATTTATTTTTTTATCATTTACATTATCATCTAGTTTATCAATTGATTTTTTTTTTACCAAACAACTAGTTTATAAACTGTTAATTTTTCAGCTAATAGTATAAGCTAATTATCCAAGCATCTATAGCCATTCGAAGACTCGTCAACTTACTTAAATGCAGTTTGCTTGTTTTTTGGGTACCCATCACGTATTTGAGCCCATCGACCATTGTCATCCTCACATTCACTGCAAAAACCAGAAAAATTCAAATTAAAAATAATAATAATGTGTGTGCGCATGCACATGTGTGTATATATATAAACATAGTTAAATGAGAAGCATAAAAAGGCGGATAACCAGTAATAATCATGTGTTGTTAAACATACATGTGAAAATAGAGTGTTGTTTCACGTGCACATTAAAAATAATCACATTGTGAAACAATAATATATATATATATATATATATATATATATATAACACCAGTTAATAATCATAATTTATGGACTTTTTTATAGTTCTTATTTGATTATTCTCCTACAAACGTAATCAGTAGTGTAACAATGAATGGGTACAAACGCATTATTGAATACTAGAAACGTATTCGCGTAATGCAGCGAGATACATCGTGATTTTAATATTTCATTTTATTCTTTATCTCAGTCAATGTTATATTATATGGTTTTATGTGATTTATTTTTGAATAAAATATATGTTTGAAGATATCATAAAAATTTGACAAAAATATATCGATATTAGTATCAAATTAACTATTTGAAATTCCT